GGCTTGCAAAATCCTTGCGACGGCGGTCGCGATGAGTGCTTGGCGTAGGATGGCGCATCTCTGCGGCCGCGCTGTCCCGCGCTTGCTCGCGCGCGCAGCGGCCAGCTAGTTTGGCGCGACCGACGCGGCCGCGGTGGCGCCGGCTGCTGGTGACTTGGGCAAGCGCGGCATCATGGCGACGCCGACAACCGTAGACACGATGAAGAGAGTAGCGGTGATGGTGGCGATGGTGGCGACGACGACGGCAAGGCCAATGACGGCGCCGATGTTGATCACGCCCTCCGGCAACGATAACGACGTCCACGCGTCGGCGGTGAAGGTTCGGGAAGGCGTTCGACACGCGCGCGCGGCCGCCGCGCGCGAGTTGCCCGCGTGGCATTATTTGACACGGATCCTGCCCCCCCGCGAATGAAAAGCATGGCTACGAAACCAAGTGCTATTAATGCGTCCATGGCACTCCATTGTTAAATATGCATGACACCAGAAATTTTGTTTCGCCGATATATATATATATATATATGTACGTGAACATGTGTGTATGTATATGTGTATGTGTATGTGTATGTGTCTGTATATGTATATGTTTGTGTATATGTATATGTACATTTGTATGTATATGTTCATGTAAATGTATATGTATATGTATATGTATATGTATATGTATATGTATATGTATATGTATGTGTATGTGTATGCGTATGTGTATGTGTATGTGTATGTGTATGTGTATATGTATATGTATGTGTATATATATATGAATAATATATATAGATATATGTATATTATCAGAGCGAGGGGGCTGAACCGAACGGTGAGTCACTGTCCATGGGTGCGTGGCTGGAAAGGAATTCCGCGATGCGGATTATTGTAATTGTTGTTGTTGTGGTTGTTGTTTGTTGTTTGTTGTTGTCGCCGTCCCACCTGCGACCCGCCCCGCGACCCGCCCGCGACCCGCCCCGCGACCCGCCCGCGACTCACCCGCGACCCACCCCGCGACCCACCCGCGACCCACCCCGCGACCCACCCGCGACCAACCCGCGACCCACCTGCGACCCACCCCGCGACCCGCCCGCGACCCACCCCGAGACCCCCCCGGCGACCCACTCGCGACCCGCCGGCGACCCACCCGCGACCCACCCGCGACCCACCCCGCGACGCACCCGCGACCCACCCGCGACCCACCCGCGACCCACCGCGACCCACCCGCGACCCACCCGCGACCCATCCCGCGACCCACCCGAAATTTTCGGCGCCAGGTGGAGAACCTGCGACCCACCCGCGACTCAAACCGCGCCCGCGACCTTCCCGCGACCCATTCCGCGACCCACCCGCGACCCACCCGCGACCCACCCCGCGACCCACCCAACATTTTCGGCGTCTGCGGCAGGCTTCTTTTGCATTCGTTCCAAGCGGAGAACCTGCGACCCACCCGCGACCCAAACCGCGTTCAGCGCGCAAATCAAAACTTCCGGCGCCCGCGGCGGGCTGTTTCTGAATTCCCCCCCAATGGAGGTGGAGAGCCC